CCCACTGTGCCCGAACCCTGAGCAAGCCCTCAAGGTCCCTAAAAACCAACATCTTTCGAGGATCCCAAACAGTGGAATCGGACCCGGGCACGGCCCCAAAGTTCGACCAGCTCCTTAGGCAAACGAGCTCACGGATGGCTTTGGGCGTCCCGGCTTCTCCTTCAGCCGTTGTATCTGTGCCTCCTTCCTGGAGACTTTGGGCCCGAACACGAGCCGAAACGAACTTAAGGAATTTGGATCAAAGGATGCCATCCGAATGGACTCTGGGTGCCGTTGAGGAATTGATCGGGGTCCTCCATTGCAGGGCCCGGGTATCCGCAGCGGAAACGTCGTGACCCTTAGAGGGGGAAGAAGACTCTTGTCAGCCGTCACCCAAGGGGAGAGGTAGGTATCGTCTGCCCGAAGCAACAATTAAACGGGCCTTCAAAAAGCCTCGCTTTGAGGGCAACCAAAACCTTCCAAAGGAGGTCTTGAAAATGATGCCTAGGGTGTGAACGTCAACATGTCAACACAAACACGACGACACGAAAGCGCTAGCTTCGCTTAGTGACCGGGATAGCTTAGAGGGCACCCTTGTGACTTGACAAGAGTAGGTTTTAGCCATGAGACCACCATGACTTTTCCACGTAGAGTCATAGAGGGCGTGCCTTGATAGACTTTAAGCCCTTGCCGCTGAAGAGTTAAAGTACTCCCCTTGTTCTTGCTCCCTTTACCCCTTGGAACGAACTGTGTGAATTAACTGCAAGCCATCTAGTACGCTTATAGGGAGCCGCTAGACGCCCTTCGACTCTGAGAACCAATTCCACAACCCCAAAAGGATCGGAAGTCTGAGGGCAAAAGACAGCTATCCCGCAATTTACGGTCAATCACTTGACATCTTCACGTCGCCACAGGTCTTGGCCATGAAAAAAGGAAGCCCTTTGCTAGCTGCGAAAGCATATCAGCGCTCGGTCCTCAGCTTTTGCTGGCGGAGCTTCACCACAAAAGATCCGCACAAGCCAACCTGAGCTCTTGCCCTCAAAACTGCAACCGCAGGGGCCGTGGCTCCCGAAGCCTTGCAACATGTTCTATATTTCCTTTGACCCCACAGTCCCCTCATGCACTTGAGGGTTCCTTTTGGCCCACGGAACCTTGCCAGAGCCCCCAAGAATCCTCGTACCCGGTTGGTTCCATAAAGGCATAGTTTTCTTCCAAGGCCACGTGCCGCATCAAAAAATATTTGCGAAGTGGAAGCAAACGAGCGCAGTTGCCATAAGCAAAGAGAAACAAGCAGCCATGCAAGCAAGCAAGCAAGCAAGCAAGCAAGCAAGCAAGCAAGCAAGCAAGCAAGCAAGCAAGCAAGCAAGCAAGCAAGCAAGCAAGCAAGCAAGCAAGCAAGCAAGCAAGCAAGCAAGCAAGCAAGCAAGCAAGCAAGCAAGCAAGCAAGCAAGCAAGCAAGCAAGCAAGCAAGCAAGCAAGCAAGCAAGCAAGCAAGCAAGCAAGCAAGCAAGCAAGCAAGCAAGCAAGCAAGCAAGCAAGCAAGCAAGCAAGCAAGCAAGCGACAAACAACAATCAATCAAATCAAGCAAGCAGTCAATCAATCAATTAAACAGTCAATCAATTCAAATTAAATCAAACCCAAACAAATCAAATCGAATCAAACCAAGTCAATCAATCAATCAATCAATCACTCACTCACTCACTCACTCAATCAATCAATCAATATATCAAATCAAATCAAATCAAATCAAATCAATCAATGAAATCAAAGCAAAGCAAATCAAAGCAACTCAATCAAAACCAATCAATCAATAAATCAATCAAATCAATCAATAAATCAATCAAATCAAGCAATCAATCAAATCAAGCAATCAATCAATCAAATCAACCAATCAATCAAATCCATCCATCAATCACACAATCAATCAATCCATCAAATAAATCAATCAATCAAATCCATCAATCAATCAAACAATCAATCAAACAATCAATCAAACAATCAATCAAACAATCAATCAAACAATCAATCAAATCAAGCAAGCCAGCAAGCAAGCAAGCAAGCAAGCAAGCAATCAAATCAAATTAAATCAGACCAAATAGAATCAAATCGAATCAAACCAAGTCCAATCCTATCAATCAATCAATCAATCAATCAATCAATCAATCAATCAACCAACCAACCAATCAATCAATCAACCAATCAAATCAATTAATCAGTCAGTCAGTCAGTCAATGAACGTCAACCAAATCAAAATCAAATCAACCCAAATCACTCAATCAACTAATCAACCAACCAACCAACCAACCAACCAACCAACCAACCAACCAATCAATCAATCAAACAATCAATCAATCAATCAATCAATCAATCAAATCAATCAATCAAACAATTAATAAATGAATCAATGAATTAATGAATCAACTAAATCAATCAATCAACACAAGCACACACACAAACAACCCAGCAACCAAGCAGGCAACCACACGAACATCGCAACAAAACAGACCAAACAAAACATCACACAGAAACAAGGTAGCAAGCAAGCAAGCAAACAAACCAAACAAGAACTTGAACATACAGACACACACACACAGACCAGAAAACAAAACAAGCTCTGTGTCTCAGTGACTAAGTCTTCAAGCAACCAAGTAACTAATAGCCCAACTCAATAATTTGTATTGGCTTAACTTAGCTTAGCTTGGCTTAATCCGCGCAGCATCAAGAACGTGAAGAAAAGGTTACCGGGTCGTTTTCCCTCTCCAAGATGCCCACCTGACATCACCTGACGTGAGTTCGCTTTGGGGCAACGGCCATCACCAGGAGCACAATGATGAGCGCTACCTATGGGAAGGGTCTGCCACTCACTTCCGAACGAGTGGATTGGCCAAACAAGTCTGAACTTTTGATTTCCCACCAAAATGGTCGAAACCCAAACGTGCAAAGTCCATGAACTCAGGAAGTGAGACCCTGAGGCTAGCGATTGGCTGTGAGTCCTGCGAAAAGTTTGGTTTCAAGGGTCGGGGAGCTTCTCGTCCCATTTCGTGTTGCAAGGGCAAGCTCGAATTTTGAATCCGGCCACAAGAAAGGAAAGGCAGAACACATGTTGGAAACCCAGCCCCAGGGCTTGAAACAGTCAGAGTCAAGATATTGGTTTTGCCTGCGGGCGTCTGTAAAGAAAAATAAAGTAAACGGACGTAGAAAATTGAACGCTGGCCAGTCTGGTCTTGGACAAGCCCCCTGTTGCCTCCATCAACCCGACACCATCCTCGGGTTTCTTTCTCCAGGAAAGTACGTTAGTGGAAGGGGTAGATGTGGGAAGTCAGGAGACGTCACAGGGTGGAGATACGGGGTAGCTGGGGGGCTGGATGCAGGGCTAAAGAGTAAGAATGTGTTGGGTCATGGTGGCTCGTCGCAGCCAGCCTTTGCCAAGTCTGTTCTGTTCATGCGCAGAACCCTCTGCTGCCTTTTCGTCATGTGGTCAAAGACATGGACAGGACCGGACATTTTGCAGCATTACCATTATTGCACATAGTGCGCAAATTTGCCCCCTTGTTTGCAGGAAATTTGTGAGCCAAAGCCATGAAGCCCTAGTACTTTGCAAAAACCCAACAGTGGAAACATTAATTTTCGACTACCTCAGCAAGAACCCGTCACAACAACCAAAACTGAGCATTACACACATGCCGCCAGGCTTTGGAAGGCAATGCATGACCTACCAGCATGGGGAATTAGCGGCCGCTCGTTTTGACACTTCCTTGGCAAACTACTCTGACTCGCTAACCGGAAAAGGATAACTTCATGGGTGAGCTCGCTGAGCTCGCCATGATTTGCCCAGTAGACATTCTTGAAAGTAACGGCGCCGAACCCTGTAGACGCGATCCACAACGTGATCTAAACAGCTCAAACTGGAACCGTGCAACCCACGCAGAAAAACACGGAACAACTCACAAGCTTGTGGCGCGCAGTGCGGGCAGCATGCTGGCGCAATGTTCGCCTAAATGAGGAGAACCACAAATTAGTGACCTTCCCTGGGTTTTCCTACTCAAAACGCCCGAGATTCAAAACTCTTCGGGAACGCCAGGCTAGCGAACCGCGGGGTGTTGGGCAGCCGCGCAGCCCAAGCAGGCACGCCTTCCTCTGCAGGCCGGGGTTTCTAAATCTGATGCCACAGACACCGCCCAGTTGGGCCTGAACGTGTCAAGGGAATTCAGGTGACTTGTGGTGGGTTCCCGCAACTCCTCCCCATAGCAAGTATGACTCAAACATTGCGACAGCGACACGGCATGTGCTCGTCTCAAAATTGCACCGAGACGTGTCCTGCGCCTGTAGTCAAGCCTGCAGCCCTGCAAGACTTTTCCGCAAGATTCGGCACAATCCCCAGCCAGTGGCCCCTCGAAAATTGCTCAAGGAACCCCCAGCCGTGCTTCGGCGGCATGGGGGCCCAGCTTCTGGAAGCCCAGACAAGAACACCGGGAGAGCGACGCGAAGGACCGCAACTGCAGGTTGGGCATCAGCGCCCAGCGCTCCAGACGGAAAACTCAGCCATATTGAGGCGACCCTGAAAAACGGCCTTCGGGTTGGCACCCTGCGCATTATTGAGCCTCGATAGCGAAAAGTTCAAACTGATGCGACGTGCGTTTGGCATTAGCTGACGGTTTGCTTTGTGGTCGTCTCGGGACTTGGGATCACTGTGCCTGGAATAAGATGCGGCCTTCTACCGTACGCAAGGCCACTTGTCCGTGGCTTGCGCAGTTCGGCTGGTCGCGTAAAGTTGGGCATCGGTTGCCAGCCACCACTGAGGCTCGTGAGTGGCTTGAGCAGCTAGTCAGGGAACCCATGTCTGCGGCGTCGAGTGGCGGCGCACGCAGCCCAAAGTACTACTACTACTTGTTATGTTGTGAGTGGTGTGTTTTTGCAAGGCTTGAATCGAGAGCAGCTCTATTGCTAGGCATGTGTGCGTCTGAGGGGGTAAGCAACCCTTTACTTTCCCTGTGGCACGGAAAGCAGCAAGTTGCAGCACAACTCATTTGCAATCAGCTGCTCTTGCCATTGACAACGCCAGTGGCCGCGCTTTGTGAGGTGATTTTGGCTGCTCCTAAGTACGCAGCAAGCAACCTTTGTTTAACCTGCGTCCTTTCTGTTCCGCTTTTGGGGAGCACCCGGAACCGGTTTCAACCAATTTCGCTCAACCCTAAGAACCATTCTCTTTGGCCCGCAGGGCCAGGGCTTCTCACGGATTGTAAATGAACGTTTGCACACACGGAGAAGACACACCTTGAGCTGCACCATGACACAAATCAAGATCTTGACCGAGCAAGAAACAGAACGGCTGTCTCACCTTGACCCAGCACTTTTAAGAATTCATGTCCCCCCCTGACTGCACAGAAAACTTCCTGTGACAGCAATCCATCTGACTAAAATCGAGGTTGGAATTCATCTGACGGGACTACGTACCTATGTTTCCCCAGACATGGGGAAATTACGGCCCGTCCCTCTGAGTTTGAAGCAAACTGCCCCTCTTCTTGCCCTCACCAAACTAACAATGGACTACCGTTTTGGTTTCCCCTTTGCTGCTACTGTGCTGCACGGTGCCCAACAAATTTGCGCGACACCGGCAAATAACAACAAACTACCAGTAATTTTGCAAGATACTCTACTATGGCTGGATCAAAATTAGGGACTCATCTAAGCAGTAGGTGTCGTGTTGCTCTTTTTGAAAGCAATCCCAAATCAGTTCCCAATTGAGACACTCATATTCTGCTGCCCCAACAGACCACGCTGCACCCAACAACAATCTGCAAGCTTGCTATATCATTAAGCTTTGAGGCCTGGTCAAGGAGTTCCCCAGGTACAATCTTCGAATCGTACCCCCAAAAAAACAGGATGGCAAAAGGGAACTGGCAAGGGCAACGTTCAGGAATTCCTATAAGCATTACCCTTCGAACGCAAACCCCATAAGCCCTCCAATGGAGAACCCCGATCCTTCCAGGAACATGTAAAAACAACCATTTCGAAAATCAGTCGGGACCCTTAGCGACCTACTATCTTCCATCTGAGGGCTTTCTGGACACATCAGCTTAGGTGTCCTTTTGGCCAAATCGATGGCACTGTTAAAATTCAAAAAAACTGAATCCATTTGAAACCAGTGCCATCTATTGGCCAAACTGACCAAAACGGACAAATTTATCCAGACGTTGCATCATCTCGTCTTCTTGCAGTTCCATGTCCCAATGTGCTTGGTCACCGTGGTCAAACCAATGGAGGAGAAAGGCAAATTGCATCTAGCTGACGTGGCCCAGAATTGAAGACCCCAGAATCTGCCTTAAGGGGAAGGGGGCAGTCTTGCGGTCTTTGCATATGTTGGTCCAAATCCTCAGCTGCCCAGAATTGCCCAAAGAACCTCAACATCAAATGTTCATCTTTCAGGGGCCAGAAGCAAACAAGGTTGCCCAGAATGTCTCTTCAGGTTGATTGGTATGGAACAGGAACAACAAAGAATCCACCAGTCACACAACAACCAGAGACCGGTGAAAGTAATACCTCTACACTAAATCACCAACAGCTAAACGATCCCAACGCAAATGATGTACCTTTATGCGCTCGCCTTACCCGGTGAGCTCGCCAAACTGGCAGGAGAATCATATTCCAATGGTTTGTGAACATCTCAATGAGCGAATCCAGAAATGGTGCTTCGCGCCTTGCGCTGAAATGTTCCCTTTTCCTCTGTTTGGTGAAGCTACCCGAAGCGTCCAAATGGCTCTGAAAAAGGACAACGGTCCGATTCGACTGCTTTTGCGGCCCTCAAAACTGGCGATTTTTGAGGGTCCTTGAGGAATAGGTCGCTGCGGCTTCGGTTCTCCGTTGCAGGAACCACTCCAAGGAGGGTCTGCATTGGAGGTCATGGCCCTTAGGGTTCACGAGCCCTGAACAACACACCATGCCGTTTCGCACCCGTTGAATTCAGATCCCTTTGACCCATTCACCCGTTGACTTCAGATTCCACCAAAATGGTTTGCATCGCGCAACGCGAATCTCCTGCAGGCGCTCAATGATCGGCGCGCGAGTGGTGGTGCTGAAAGGTGTCGTGGTGGTTGTGGTTGGCCTCAAGCAACCCCAGTACTTGAATCTTCAAAATTAGGGACCCCTACTAGGTGAATAAACCCTGGGTTGATTTTGATAGGGCGTCCCGTGTCCCTTTTTAGTGGGGGCTTCGTCAGTTTTGTAGGGGACCCCCCCTTGCTAATAGGACGGATGTATTGATGCGGAGTCATGGCTATGATGATGGGTCGAGAAAACTTGGCCAGACTCGCACGCATGCAAAAGGTTAACAGCTCGCTAGCTAATGAGGGAAACTGGCGACATGGGCAAAACACTTGATTAAGTCTGGCAAAAAAAACATGGGTGCGAGTGGTTCTCCGCCCCGCTTCGCCAGATTGGCTCGGAAGAGCCAAATGAACAAACTATGAGCTCGGAACCCCATTGATCCCTGACTAAGTTTGAATCAACCACTCCCTTCCACTGCTCAATAAAAACAGTGTGGCCTACAGGCAAATGCAGCAGTTGGAGGGTGCTTGAAAGAGAAACACAACAATTTGGGGGGCTATGCGTCAAGACCACCTAAGCCCACAAACTGAAAATCATATGCTCCGACTCTGTTCCATTTGGACCACCCTAGAACACATGAGGAAAGCAGACACCCGCGTTTGCACCAATTTGTGATTCACGAGTCCCACCAAGGCCTCCCGTTGACTGCGAAAGGAGTTGGCCACTGAGGCGCCCGACGGCAGGTACAAAGATATCCCTGGCGAAGGTCC